TGCGTCATATGTCACATGTAACACGTGTGAGCAATGTGCTACATGTACCACAAATGTAACATGTATAACAGGTGTAACAGGACATGTGTAACATCTATTGTAAGTTATCTGGCTTTTTCGAATGAAATGTTAGGAGTTGTTTTGAAGTTTGTGCCTTATGGTTTAAGCTGTGATCTGACGATGTAACAGAAATATATTTACTATAATCTCTATGAACACATGAAGCGTCCCGTAAATCTGAAAAGGACGGACAGTTTGCACGTCTCAGCAGGAAGTGATGTTTGCTTTTTGGAGAAGTGTTGTGAAAACTGTGCTTAAAGTATTTTACTTTAGGTCCGTTTCCATCAGTGAACTGCTGATGGACTCGTATGTAAAACCAAGTCTCTTCCTCGGACCTGAAGCAGCATGAAGTTCACGCTTTCTTTACTCAGGATTGTACAGGACTTTTCTGTGTTCGTCTTTGCTTCACATTTCTGTAACAAAAATCTGTACAGCTAACAAATATTTCTGACACTGACAATTGCTTTTTTAAAGCTCATTAAATGTACTATAAACTGTAAATCTTTTGTTTTATGTCGTCTTAATTCATCCCAAACGCTGACAGCCTCTGACAGGGAACCAAATCTTCATCAGTTTAATGATCAGTTCTTTTGTTTTTTATGAGACAAAGTGAGGCTTTTATATTCAGCTATATTTGTCTGAACATCCTGGTGCAAAGTTATAATTTCTTTTAATTTATTTAAAGTAAAAATGATAGAAACAAATAAACAGGAACTGTCTTAAACAGGTGAAACCTATATGTAATTTCTATAGTTGTATCTGCAATACTTAATTCCTCCACCAAGTCACATGGGAGCTGAGTAACCGAAACATTGTCTGGATTTTTTGTTTGTAAAGTTATCAAAATGCAAGAAAATAAATCTGTTATATTGTGTTTGCTTTTATTTTTCTATACAAATTAAATGAAAGATTCTTAATCTATGAGCTGGCAGGGATTAAGGAATAAATATAAATCCTAAAGTAGCATAAATATGAAATGAAGAAAAGGACTCTGAGAGCGCAGAGCTTCACCAAGCAGCACATTTGGTGACCTTCTGTAAATCTATAGCTAAACTCTAACATGTGCTGGATCATTACACAATTTAAATTAATCATTCCTTGGTATGAAACACCTCTGGTAATAATTTCTTTAAAATCCATCCTTAACTTTTGTCCTGTTCAAAGACAAACAGACACATAAACTCTCCTAAAAACACAGCAGAACATTTCAAATCCACCCGTAAAACAAACAGCAGATCTGTTTTCAGCACTTTGACCTGTAATGAATTAGTGGGTCTGTGCTTCTAGTTTGGGGAAGGCCCGGCTCTATTTGAGTGAACAGTGTTTTTAACAGGGTAATAAATGTCACAAAGAAGCCAAAACGTTCACCTTTTTTCTGGAAATTGAATAAAAGCTCTTCAATACGGATTAAACTGAACTTTAATTGGATTTTCACTGTATTGTACTACTTTTTGACATAAAACAGCTGCTTTCAGTGATGTTGTTTCGTGGGAAAAACATTTTGGCAGTTTTGTATTTCCATATAGGGGCAGCCTGTACTGTGATGCGGCCCGGGTAAACATGGGAGAGTGTTCAGAAGCTCACCAAGGGGGATAGAGGACCAGAAAAGCAGGACAGGAGGAAACTTCCAGGGGGAAAGGCAGTACTTCAAGACCACCACAAGAGGGCAGCAGAGAGCCTCAAAATGTGGAAACACTGCAGTCTATTGCTGTAAGAACCACATTAACCAGAGGAGAAGATTTGTTTCCTCAAACTAACATTGTGACTAATTTCATCTGGAATGCAGTTAATGAAAGTTAGAGAAGTTATTCAGTTAAATTGAAAGGTTTATATTTCTGCTTTCACTTAGAGAGACTCACAAGGAGACGATTAGAGAGTTATTGACATGAGTGAATATAAATACACTATATCACCAAAACTATTGGCTCACCTGCCTTAATCTCTGCTGGGAACCTGTCCACCATGTTTAAGAGTGTTTATAGGAATCTTTGACCATTCTTCCTGA